AGCCGATGGTGTTTCGGGTCTTAGTAACCTCGTCAGGTTGGACAAGCCAGCGGTCAAGTTAACTTCTCAGGGAATTAGATTCAGATTATGACTTGAGCCGATGGTGTTGGGGTCTTAGTAACCTTGTCAGGTTGGACAAGCCGAGCGGATAAGTCATATTCTATACTGTGGAATGTGCATGTCTGTACTTAACCGGTCAATAAGTTCCTATTACGATTTGCCTTGCTATGCATATTGATTATTTGATGCGGTAGAAGTCAGATATTTTATGTGAAATATTTTGTCCTTAAATAAAACCAACATATTGTTGGAAAATTAGTGTATTTCAAATAAACAAATTTAATTGTAAATGGATAACGTATTTAATTTATTTTGGCCGAACCTTTCCTTAACGTGGTGGCATTTTAGTTTTTAATTATCTTTGCTTTTTATTATCCAAATGGATATTATCTCACTCTCTAACGTGCATGGTTGTTGACCAACATAACTTGGTTGAGCTTCTTTATCTCCATTTATTTAGGATCAATAACAAACCTATCTTTTCCTTATAAAACTTCTACAACGCAGCAATAGAAGGGAGCTAGGCTCTTAAGCTTTCTTCTTTTATATACTTCGTATACTCATACTAATTAATATACTCCTTGACATATTTTGTTTACTCTTCTTCTATGGAGTTATACGAAGTATATAAACACCCCCATATATATTATTATCTTTAAAAAACAAAACACCGCTGGATTACAAAATGAATTTTCTATCCTCGTAGTTTTGTGTCCGGCTATTCGCCGATGGGCTCGTTATATCCTGGGGAAAGATTTCCGGCCACCGGAAATACTTTCTTAAGGACAGCGTCTAATGCGTCTCGAGTCATTGTCCTTCTTGTTATTTTCATGTGCAGGACCTAGTTCTGGAAGAGAGCAGAAGAGGCGACAACCACACTCAGACTTGCCGTTGGAAGTTTCCGGATAGGAAGGAAGAAGAAGCGGTTCGCTGGAAGATGTCGGCCCGTGCGGGTGGCGAGAATAATTCCCCAACAATCTTAAGAAAGTATTTGGCAAGAATGAAACACAACACTTCCCTATGGAGCGCTGCTTGTTTTTGCTTGTTCTCCCAGCTAGCGAGTAATTTCTTCCAAGACATATGCGCGCTCCTGTCGCTTTGAGGCACCCAAATGGAGAATATATGGTACTTCTGTTAATTATTTTATTAACAACCATTTTATCTATTTTAGTGTTGCATGCGTATGTGTGTTGGGAGTTGTTGAATTTTATACTTACCTTTATTCTTGCAATTAGCCTTAGTTTAATCCCTGTTATAAAAAGACAACTATGGAAAACAACACTCCACTTAAATCAAGTCCAAAGTACTTGAGTAAAAGTGATGATAATTTATTGTGGTTGTTTGTCAAAGTTGAAAAAATTAATGATGCGAATGAGTGGAAGGTAGACTCTCGGCTACCAAACACATTTGTAAAAACAAAAATGCATTTACCTTCTATATCGCTATATATAGGAGATGACGAAAAGCTAGAGTACCTAGCGGACTCAAATCGTAAACTCACATCGGAAAAAACTTTATCACTAAATGGCGTGTTCCATGTGGCTAAGATTCGGACTAATTTGGTATGGTAAAAAACTCAAAATGATGTTTTTTTATGGGCAAAGGCTATTGTGAGAATAAATGTTGTGTGTTTAGTATTTCTAATTATTCGCATTCGTTGGAATTTTCCAGTTTACCTGAGTTAGTAATCTCAATTGCTATTATTTCATCATTTTACTGCCTACCGTGTCATACTGAGTATCTTTGAAAAATGTATAAATTCTTGTTATTATATTGTGTTCACTGGTGTATATAGTTTTAATTTTGGTAGTAAGTAAATAATTGTGCTTGTTGAAAAATTGAAAGCTGCATCGGTAAAGCTTAATTTGAATGCATGTTACGTAAATCAGCATTCATGATATTTGCTTGATTGATTTGTTAGAAGAACTCGTTAATTGGTCATACTTTTAATTGGTTTTAATTGGTGAGGTAAGAATTCTATTTGCATGCATGCGGCCTGGTTAGTTGTTTTGGATGACTATATTTTGTGCCCTTTCTTTCATATGTGAAATATATATGAGCCTAATTCTTAAATATATAAAATGTGGGGGTTCTTAAATATTTTTGGCTTGCTCATAGTGATACAACCTAATGACATACTCCGTATAATATCTGTTTTGCACGTATGTAGTAGTTCTACAAATTTAAATATATTATACTGCGTATTCATTAATATGTATGTGGTGAATTTCGTAAATAGCATATGGAATTATTATGCATGCTATTATTTGTTGATAGCTGTGGAACTCAGTCTATATTGGGTTGAATATAAGGCAAGTATATTTGGTGATTTTATAGAAATTTATTTTGATTCTTAAAGTGTGAATTTGTGATTAAAAATCCACAAACTATGTTAAACCTGACATAAAATGTCAGAAGATTGAGCCAATATATTAAATCCAAACGGGATAGTTCATATACCATTAATTATGACATACATTTGATTGAGATTATCCGTTGTAATAAATTGATTCAACGATGACATGTTTTATTGAGAAATAGTCATTGTACTAGAGCAGTACAATGATGTTATATGATATAGTTATCCATTGTATTATAATGATACAATGATGTTATATAGTTTATTGAGAGTTATCCGTTGTATTAATTATCGGGATACAACGATGTCATCTGAGTTGAATATCACACAAGTGATGTTGAGTTTCACATTGGAGAAATAAATTTTAATGTTCGTTATGAATATTATAATAGTGAGTTTGTTAAAAATAACAAACTGTGTGAAACTCGACTTAATGTCGGAAGATAGAGCAAAATTGTGGAATCACAAAAGTGTATTTGGTGAGCTAAACCATTGTATTAAAGACATACAATGATGATATGATTTTACGTGATATTGTTGTATAGACGTATACAATAATACCGTATGAATTAAATATTATTAACTTTGACAAGAGGAGTTAATTATCTCCTTTGGCGCGCGAAAATCCGGATATTGTCATTTTTATACATCGAGGGAAATGGGCTGTCACTTGTTAACAAATAGGGATGGTAACCCAACCTGTGTGATTGGAGATCCCATGAAGCAGGTTCATATGGGTAATAACAAGTCTTCTATTTGTTCTTGCTAGCCGATTATGTCCATTTCTAGGGTGAGGCTAGACTGCATTTGCTGTGAGGCTGAGCCAAAACTCTTAATGATTTTCATAGCCTTATGGTTGGTGTGTTAAGTGCAGAACACACTTGATGAGGTCACCTATATGAGTGTGAGGTGTGGCCGCCTCCATGAAGCATGACAACGCTTCTAGAGCACTCACGAACACCAGGCACGCGCACGGCCGAAAAGCGCACCACGGCGTTAACGCGAGGAATTGTGGGGGGTGAAACATGACCATTAAGACCCTGACTTACCATAGTAGCTTACTGGTTCATAGAAACTATATGTTTCACCAGAAGCTCGGTTTGTAAAGACTTAATCGTCTCGGTTTGGTTCATAGTCTTCGGACTCCAGACTTAAAGTCTCATTCCCGTTAATCCAGCAGATTTTCTAAATTGCAGTTTTTCAAAATTATTTTAACCTCAAATGTTTATTTGAAATATGTGGGGGATTGTTGGAAAATTAGTGTATTTCAAATAAACAAATTTAATTGTAAATGGATAACGTATTTAATTTATTTTGGCCGAACCTTTCCTTAACGTGGTGGCATTTTAGTTTTTAATTATCTTTGCTTTTTATTATCCAAATGGATATTATCTCACTCTCTAACGTGCATGGTTGTTGACCAACATAACTTGGTTGAGCTTCTTTATCTCCATTTATTTAGGATCAATAACAAACCTATCTTTTCCTTATAAAACTTCTACAACGCAGCAATAGAAGGGAGCTAGGCTCTTAAGCTTTCTTCTTTTATATACTTCGTATACTCATACTAATTAATATACTCCTTGACATATTTTGTTTACTCTTCTTCTATGGAGTTATACGAAGTATATAAACACCCCCATATATATTATTATCTTTAAAAAACAAAACACCGCTGGATTACAAAATGAATTTTCTATCCTCGTAGTTTTGTGTCCGGCTATTCGCCGATGGGCTCGTTATATCCTGGGGAAAGATTTCCGGCCACCGGAAATACTTTCTTAAGGACAGCGTCTAATGCGTCTCGAGTCATTGTCCTTCTTGTTATTTTCATGTGCAGGACCTAGTTCTGGAAGAGAGCAGAAGAGGCGACAACCACACTCAGACTTGCCGTTGGAAGTTTCCGGATAGGAAGGAAGAAGAAGCGGTTCGCTGGAAGATGTCGGCCCGTGCGGGTGGCGAGAATAATTCCCCAACACATATACGCTAAGTATTTTACATAATTACCTGGAATAGGCTATGTGGTTGATTGTTATATGACTTATGATATAACTATAAACCTGTTTACAAAACCATTATGGTGAGACGGTGTGTAGACTGAGTAGGAGGATCTTGACAGTATCACAAGCTGACCTCTCACAGATTTGTAAGTCAAAGAAACTTTGTAGATGACTTCAGTCATATCTCTCCTTTGGATCCGCCGAGGCTTGTTTGGTTCGTATAGCTCGGGAATCATATATTATTTTATTAGATGCTCATGAGACTATCCTTCATCATAAAAACACTACTCGGGGCCTGTTTGCCTCTATGTCACTTAATTTTATCAAACATTTACCCAATTACTTTTATGTTGTATCATGAAACATCTGCTCTATAAGCTATTCTTATCTTCATATGGAATTACTTAGTGTAATGATATTAAATGCCTTGCACGATCTGACGTGAGAACCAAGAAGGGTACTCTCGTAGGGTTGTGCGGCAGTTGTTGACGCTACCGGGTCGGTCTGGGGCATGACACACATGCACATGCACATGCACATACACATACACATGCACATACACATACACATACACATACACATACACATACACATACACATACACATACACATAATACCTAACAGTGAAAGTACATATACTGGAAAAAAAATGCCATGGCTTTACCAAATCTTTGGAAAAGATTTGTGCTAAATCTGTTCCAAACTCGTTATTTTTTTGTAGTGTGAAGCAAACCATGCAGGTGGAATGGACAGAAATTTAACAACTTATTTTTGGGTACAATAGTAAAAATACAAGCTATAATTTTATTATAGCTCATCATGTGCAACCTTGGTACCGTTGGCAGCCACCACTGGGGGTGGGGGTCTTATTGGTATAGGTATGTAGCATGTATCTTCCAGAGGAATAGGAGCGACGCCGCCATTACCCTGACGGTCACGTTTCATCAGGAAGTAATGAAACCTCTCGGCTGACCCTTTTGGAGTTCTTGTCAATTCTTTGCTGCTGCGGTCGACACTATACAACCCCATTCTGACACTAAATCCGTTTGCCCATTCAAGGTTATCTGTTAATGTCCAAACAAAATAGCCTTTCACCCTGACCTTGTACTCACTACATGCATGACAACAAATTCATTCATCAACCACTAAAATATTCATATATATACTTACTTAATATGTCACACTATATGAGTAATAATTGAATTCAAAAGAAAAGAATAGGATCAAAATTCATACCATACGTATAAAATACTCCTCCCTTCATCCCATTTAAAGGTTCCCGTCCACTATTCTCATGGTCAACATAAATCATTCTTAATCTTTTGTTTTACATATCAAATTTTTATCAAACTTACATTTTTTTTATCAGACTTTGTAGCGGTTTTAATGTAGTTTCTAAATATGTAGATTTTATTTACTAAAAATAATCAGAGTGTGAACAGAGATTAAGTTGCTTTATCGTCAGTCAAGCATCGTAAATCGTAATTGGAATCTCTTAATGGACGGAGGGAGTATTATTTAATAAATAAAAACCCTATTTTCAAAACTTTTAGACTTTGCACCCTATCATACAATATTTTGTGAAGAAAAGTTCCTGATTGGGGTACAAAGGCAAAGACATTTTAAGGGAAACAGAGTGCAAAGTTTAAAAGTTTTGAAAACGGGGTGCAAAGTCCAATATCACCCAAAAAAGTGGGGTGCAAAGTCAAAATACGCCAAATAAAAACTCTTTAATCATATTTTAGAAATCACAGTCTCTTTGAGTCATACCTCAGTAGTTTTCTCATATACTCTATCTTTCATTATCATCGTGCAAATATTGCTATTAATTAGTCTCACATCTAAGTTGTTTACGAATGACTAAAGTAATTAATTTTTCACTCTGACCTTGTAGTCATTGACATTCTCACAAAATCTAGGTATATAGTGGGATGCCTGGCTGGTACAAAAAAGAATTGGATATAGGAAGCGGATTTGGTGAAAAGGCTACTTGATTCGATGCCCAAGTCCTTTCTTTGACTCTCGTGGCTTCAATTGAGTTCGATTTGAATTGTGTAATAATCAAAATAAGTAAAATTAAAATTGATTTTCTGGCTACTTTTATGGGGGACTGTTTGAAAACTAAAAAGCAAAAGTTCTAATATCCGCCAAATTCACTTCCAAAATCCGACACAGCCACATTCTTTCTCATCAGCTAGGAAGAAGAGGGGAGGGAAGGATAATGAAGTGGAGATATTCAGATAAATCATTTTACAAGAGAACAGACAAAAGTTCATGTCCGGAATTCCGGACAGGAACCGCCGTCCGGACGGCGGCGTTTGGCCGCCTTCCTGGTGGAATTTTTTGATGAAATTTTTATGGAATGTTCTCCATCAAGTCTAGTTTATCCACAAAAAACTTCAGCCAAAAAATCAATCGGGAAGGTCGTCAAATGATTTTTGCAAGTTAACTGGTCCGGAATATGTATTTTCCGGACCAGTTAACTTGCAAAAATCATTTGATGACCTTCCCGAATGAGTTTTTGGCTGAAGTTTTTTGTGGATAAACTAGACTTGATGGAGAACATGTCATAAAAATTTCATTGAAAAATTCCACCCGGAAGGCGGCCAAACGCCGCCGTCCGGACGGCGGTTCCGGTCAGGAATTCCTTACCGGAAGAGCACTCCAAGAGAACAATATGACTAACATAAATCAGCTATGTATTTTTAATGTATCTAAGATGATGGACTAACCAAATGGCTCGACGGAGATAGTAAAGATGACCTCCATGGTAGTCTATCCTCCACTTATCCTTGATTGTTTCTTGACGAGTGAGATTCACGGCATCACCGATTCCTGGATATAGTACGTACATTTAAGTATTTAACTTTTATATACGGAGTATGTGATATGTGCTTGTGTTTGTGTTTAATTTTTAGGGCAAACCATGAATAAATACCATAAAATGTACTCATCTCTATGCAGACAGATAGAACCCCATTGTTCAAATAAATTAATATCAACGTACTAAATATGATTTTTAAATTGAATTACTATATTTTGTGAATTGAATTGGAATACTATATTTTATGTGTCTACAATCTACATGTATGTGTGCTTCGCTCTCTCAAACCCACATACGAAGTATATAATATTCAACAATTCTAATTATTTAACACTGTTATACGTAGTATATGGGCATAAATTTATGTATGATGACTGTTATTGAAAATTCATAAATCTGCATGCAATAAATAAATAATTTGAAGTAAAAAGAATTACTTAAATGAAATCGAGCCCAACGAATCGTTGTTTCCCTTAGACAAAATTGCCCACAACTCTAGTAGCAATCGCTTTCCATGATTAACTGATTTCTACATTCCTGAAGGACACCGCAAACTCGAAGATGGATGCAACACTAATATAATGGAGGATTGAACGGAAAAGAGAGAGTTGAAATTTCTGAATTTCGGATTAATTAGAAACGTAGGCAAACATGAGAATTTATAGAGACTCTATTCCCAAAAGTTACCTTTAAAATAGCGGTTGTGACCTTTCTTCAAAGTTGACTCTTTAATTTGCCAAGTAATATATGATCAACCATTATGTCAAAGAATACAAATATAGGAAATTTTCTTTAAGCCACACGTGGCAAGTGGATCAAGACCCAAACCCGAAACCTGACCCCACCAGCCGGATGGCGGCGGTGCATGCTGTGAGATATAATTCCACAATTATCTTTTAGGAGACAATTTCTCATTCATTTCAAAATTATTTTGTACAAATAATATACGAAAACGTTCATCTCACGAAGTACAATATATTAGGAGTTAGTCCTATTAAAATAAATATGTGTCCTTTGCATATTATATATATTGTATAGCTCCGAAAATGACCATAATATTAATTTATAGAACTACTTTTCTAACAATGACCATTAAATTCATTCTATCGTTAGGCCTTGGTCACTGAAGGACTTCATCAGCTTCGTCCCTTGTACACTTACTAATATGTAGTATATACTACTCCCTCCGTCCCATTTTGGTTGTCCTACTTTCCTTTTTGGGTTGTCTCAAAATGGATGTCATGTTTCCCTTTTTGGTAAGGCGTTTATGGTTCATATCATTTCACTTCTTTCTACTCAAATCTTAACCACAACTTTTGTTTTTAAATCATTTTATTAATAACCGTGCCAAATTGAAATGAGACAACCATTATGGAACGGAGGTAGTATATAGATTACGGGAGGGACTATGATCTATTGCCAAAATCGCGATTCAATCCTGATCCTAACATTAAAATCCCAATAAAGCCCTATTCCCAATAAGGAATTTTAATTAATCATGACAATGAAATTATATAATTTATTTAATTAATTAGTGGTGTCAACATTATTCTTTGATCATTATTATACATTTATACCTTATTATTATTACCTACAATCTACTTATACACAGCGGTACGTATAATGTCAACCGCGTGTATTTTAATGAGAAAATACAATTTTTTTTTTTTTGAAAAAAAGTTGGACTTGACTGGATTGGGATTGTCGGCCTTAGGAGTTAGGACCGGAAGTCCAAACTCCCAATTCTGAAAAAAAAAAAAAAAAAATCCACCCCTAATAGGGATAACACTTCATATTAGCTAGCCCAGATTCTAAAACCTTATACGGTGACTTATATCCTATAAATATAATTAAGTTGATCTCATATCTTATGATAAACCCCTAAATCCTTAAAAATATAGGACAAGTTTACTTGTAAGAGCGTCTCTAATGTTGCAATTTGCACAATACACATATGGCATGAGAGACAACCACATAAATATTAGTAAATATTTTTTGGGGGAAATGGTTATATAGCATTTTAAATTAGCATATATGCATAAAGTTAGTAGCAACTATTTATATTTTATAAAGCCTATAGCACTTTAGCATTAGGGATGTTTTCTTTTGGACTGTTTTCAGTCCCAGACCAGACCAGATCAAACCAGACCAGACTTAAACAGACCAGATCAGACCAGACCAGACTTAAACAGAACAGACCAGACCAGACTTGGATAGTTATAAAATACACAGAGACCAGACGTTTACCAGACCAGACCAGACCAGTTCAGACTAGACCAGACCAGATCAGACTAGACCAGACCATCAAATTTCAGACCAAACATGTGAAGAATAGCTAGCTACGGGTGTAGTAATGTTGAAATAAATACGTGTTCTAAATTGATACTACTATTAGACAAGAAAAGGCAACCAAGCACTCCAGCTTAACTGGTTGCGAGGTTACCATGCTTAGTGTGAGGTCTCGAGTTCGAATCCCGCTAGGCACACACAAGGGTTTGAAACTCAATGGAGTGAGTTTTAAAAAAAAAACAAGAAAAGGCTATTTGTTTTATTTTTGATAATACATAACATTAACTTAAAGCTAGGTATTTAAATTGGTACATATACCCAAATTTCTCAACATTTTTTTCCCGCCTGATTTGAATGATTTTATACAATTTTGATACATTTTAGTTAGCAATGTCAACCATAATTTCTATATGTTCACTGTCTTCTTGACATTGTAGAGAAAAATTTATCAAAATTGTAGAAATTCATTCAAATAAGGAGAGGAATACTTTATTTATTAATATTTATGTGGTTTTCTCTCATGCCGCATGTGCATTGTTCGCATTGTAGCATTAGAGATGGTCCAATAATTAGTCAGTACGACTTGCTAATAATCAACATGCTATTCTACTTCATTTAATAATTAATACTTCGTATAGTGAAAAGGCATAAATGCGAGAACTTGCCGTTTTCGGTGATATAGATAAGTGGATCTTTGTAGGTATGTTTGGTATATGTCAGTATATCCAGGATTCCTTTTGGGTACACAAACAACCAGTCTGGGGTACCCTGCAAATGTATTCATTTAATTAATCCACAAAATCTGTATTAAAGGGTTTAGTAATTAATATATGATGCAATATATCCATTCTAATTATCAAAAGTATTTATTCTTTCGGGTCTAGTATGGTCTAATATTGTCTGCTCTAGTATGATATGTGTCTAGTCTCTATGTAATTTACAACCGTCATATATGGAATTGAAATAAGTCCAAGTAAGACCATCGGTAATCCACAATATTAGTACAAGATTATATTGTACTACATTGATTTTGTTTTGTACGGCATTGATTTAAAAAATGTTGTATACTTCGTACTCCATTTAAGACCAACCTGTTCACCTATGGGGTTCCCATTCTTGTAATCTGCATATAAGTGTAAACATATTATTACGGAGTATTATATTAATTAAAAGTTATATTGCGAAGTTCTCTCTACTTCTCTAGTCTATCCCGTACGTCCAACTTTTTATACAAATCACATATTAAATTTAATTTTCTAAAGAGTAATTTAAAAACTGAGATGAGGATAACAATACATTAAAGAAGAGAGAAATTTATCCCTAAATAGAATTAAAAACGTTTTGAAATTCTAAAATAAGACTCATGTTTTTTATTCCCTGAATAAGAGTAAATTTCTGTCAAGTTTGACATTACTAGGCTTTAAACATGGCATTTTTTTCCAAACTTGGCAGAATACTCCTATTTAGAGAATAAAAAACATGATAGTCATATTTGGAATTTTAAAACATTTATACTCCTATTTAGGACAATTTCTGATATGATTAAAGAAGCGGGGAGCAATATGTAGGGTGTGTACTTACAGGTTAAACTAACACGCGGATCAGTTGAAGCCCTAATATGGGTTGGAAAAGGATCGGGAGTGAAATTGGAAGAAGCATACGTGGAAGTGTATGAGTTAATGCCGATAAAATCATAGGAGTTTTTCACTATCTGTTTTTGCTCCCACGTAAATTCGGGCAATCTTGCACCAACTAAAGTCCTCATCGATAGTGGATATTGACCGTAGTTGATGGGATCCATAAACCTATTTCAATCATATTTACCTGATTAATTAATTAATTAAGAGTTTATCATAATAATAACAACAACGACAATAATAATAAATAATACTCCGTAATATAAGAATAATAATAAATAATACTCCGTAATATAAGAATGATGATGATGACGACGACGATGATGATGATGACGATGATGATGATGATAATGATAATAATAACAATAATGATAATGATGATGAGTAATTACTTATTTTTGGGGATTAATAAATTACTCGTTCATTTAGGTCAATTACACTAACAAAACCGACTAAAATAAGTCAATTTTCTCATTGTTGAGTTTGTTGTTGAAAAGAAATATTAAAAAATCACATCGAGAGGATTAACTAGCTAGAAGAATAGGAAATACAAGATGGCAAAAAAGAGCAACAATTAAGTACATTGTGAATTTGTGAGGTGCTTGAATGCGCTTCCCAAAATTACTTGTACTTGAAGAATATAAACAAAATATTAAAATGTTTGAATTGAAGGACAGAATAAAAAAAAAGAGTTTTTTTCAAAAATATTACTAAAATAAATGTATTTGCAAAAATATGATTACTAGTTACTACAATTTAATGTCATGATAACTGAAGTTTAAAAATTAAATATAAGTTACTATGATCTCATTACTACTATAATTATTAATCATATTTTTATAAGCAATTTTCATTTTAATTATATTTACATAATTATTTCATAAAACAAAGAGTCACAATCAACAGGTTTAATGCACCAAACCCTCCTGTGATTTGGAAATTCGGCGCATTAGCCCCCTGTGATTTAAAAAATGCGTCAAACCCCCTGTGTTTTAATTAATCATGCGTCAAATCCCTTATGTGAACAAATTCAATTGTCAAATAAAAGAAAAATGATTAACATTTTTGTATGATTCAGAGATTTTGACATATTTATTTGCATATTCAATCAAAATATTAGGAAAAGTGATTTTCAAATCGTTAAATTTATTCATAAAGGGGGTTCTGTGCATGATTAATTAAAACACAGGGGGGTTTGACGCATTTTTTAAATCACAGGGGGCTAATGCGCCGAATTTCCAAATCACATGGGGGTTTGGTGCATTAAACCCCACAATCAACACTAGTCGGATATCCATAGCGATAGCCGATAGGTAGAACATTGGAATAATGACAAAAATACTGGTTGCAGAACTTGATAAGTCAAAAATATGGCCATTGTTATATTCGGACGAATAAGTGACCTCATCGTAGAGTAAATGACTAGAATGCCCTGAAAACTAACCCCAATCTGCCATCTCATTTACGGACCAAGTATTATTTCTTCCTTCAAGTTCGGCGATGTCGGCTACGCTAACAACCAGAGAATTAGGACAGCTAGCGAAGGCGGACGGCCAACGAAGGAGACAGCGTAAACCAGCGGCGCTGATGTGCAGCGACGACGACGTCCGACGACGATGAGGATCCAATCTCGCACCTCTTCTTTTTCTTCTCAGTCCGCGTCACATCCCTAGTACGCTCTTTTCTTCTTCTGTGTCTATCACATTGCGTCAGCCATTGAAATCCAAAAAGGAGATTGGAGCTGCAAACCAGCATCAATTGCTCCGATTTAGATCTGTGGTGGTGTCCATGAAAGGGTAAGGGTAGGTGTAGTGACGTCTGCAACTTCAATTTTCGCAGATTCAGAATTTTGATGAGCGAGATCTGATGTGGTGCTCGATTTCTACAAATTCGGATTTTAAATCTGCGGTGGTGCTCCAATGTTTGCCGGTTCAGAATTGCAATTCTGGATCTAATTTCCAGTGACCTTGTCGGATCTTTCCTTTTTTTCTATGGTGACTTCTACATATTGCGTCAATTTATTGGCCGGAGTAAGGTGCTCCAACTGGGTGGCAGTGTCATGGCAGCCCGAGTGAAGTCAACTAGTTAGTAAGGTCATTAGTCACTATGGTCACTCTGTGCCACTGGAGTTCGGTTGGTCACTGAGGCGGTGGTCATTAGACGGTGGTCACCGAGCGTTGGTAACTGTGTCATTGGTCACTACTTGACGGAGTCACTGTGATAATTGTCACTTTGGTCACTCTAAATATTGGTCACTTTGGTCATTGAACAATTTTGGTCACTGTACCGGATCACTGTAGCAAGCTAGGTGGTCCTGGGTTCATTAAGGGTGTAATGGTCCTATTAGTAAATTTTAGTCTCATTTTTGGAAATTAAAACATAAGTACTCATTTTTGTCCACCGAGAATTTTTAAGTAATATTGTAGTCTTAACCCTAGAACATTATAGCTAGGCGGTCCAAGATAACAAACTAACAAAGAAATACAATAGGACAAAAATTGGCACACCTAGGAATAAATATGGTGTGGAGAGGTGGATTTTCATATACTCTAGAGTGTGCACGATACTAATATTACTTTTGTCCTATTAACATTGGGAAATGAGAATAGCTATTAAGAAAAATGTGTTTACGTGATTAATATTGAATTAATAAAATAAGAATAAAATACTATTGATTTAAAATCACACAAATTATACCAAATTTGATATGTGACAATATTAATGGAACGAAACAGAAACGAAAGATAAGACAATTTTAGCGAGACGGGGGAGATATAAGAAATATCCATATACACACACATTTAAATTAATGAAATCAGTTTTTCTACATTCTTTTATATTTTTAACAATGATGTCAAAATATCTAGACGTTCCAAAAAAGTTGCCAAATATAAAAACGAGTACTACATAATACATAGTAGTATTCAAGTAAGGAGAGATTTATAATTTATGGAATATTAATTTTTATGTGTATATTTCTCTGTATACATTTCCTACATTGTTGAGTTGAAATCCTCTGTCAATAATAAATGCATTAATTTGTGTATAAATTTTTATTCAAATATTAATTGAAACTGTGTACTCCATATATTAGGCAATAAATTAAATCCTACATGCACTTGCAATAAGCTCGACCACCCACTCTTGTTCTTTACTCTATATTTGAGATTTTTTTTAGAAAACTGCCCCAGTCCACTAACTATTTTTACTTGGATTGTTTATTGTCCCAGACTAGATCAGACCAAATCAGACTTAAACAAATCAGACTGACCATACCAAATTATACAGGTCAGATCAGACTTCCGTAGTTATAACATACAAAGAGACCAGACATTTACCATACCAGACCAGTTCAGATCATACTTGACCAGACCAGTTTAGTTCAAATCAGACCAGACCAATTCAGACTTAGATAGATCAGACCAGATTAGACCAAACCAGATCAGCAAATTACAGTCCAAGTAAAAACATCATAAGTTCACAGTCTCAAATTTTAAACAATTTTGTCACTTAACCGATAAACAACATGTAGCTCCTTTTATTTCTAATGTGGATGCCACTTAAGCTTTTTATATCGTTTTTTTATCTTCTTTCCCTTTTCTATTACTCCTGCTTCTTTTTTTCTCTGGTTCGTATCCCCTATTCTTCCGCCCCTGTAACCCCCTTGTACCAATCAGTTATATATCGGATAAAAGGCAAATATGGTCAATTTTTTATACTTGATGGACTTAATTGGTTAGCGAAATAATATACGGACTCAATTGACTTTTTTGAAATAGTGGTGGACTGATTTGACATTTTTCCCAAAGTTCTTTAAAAAATAGTAAATATAATCGTGTTTCTATCTCAAACCTAAAATATCACTATTATAAGTATCGTTATTTTCATCCTAAAATAATTTCTAAGTATTTTTTCATTCATGTTGTTGGAGGTTTTTATTTTTCAATTTCTAATAAGACCATATAAACCGGTGTGCAGAGGGCAGCAACACCTCTTCTTTCGAGTTGGAGAGCTGCACATGAAAAGGGTAATTTCTTGGTGTATTCCGGGGCACGGCAGGAGGATCACAAGTGGAAGCGACCGGGTATAAACCAAGTCAAGATCAACGTTGATGCAGCTCATAATCCTAGGGATCGATGGGCTGTGGTCGTGGGGCTGGGTCACCCGGAATAGCGATGACATTTTTATACAGGCACGCACCCGAGTTGTGAAGGCAAAGTGGTCTGCGGAAATAGCAGAAGCTTGGGGAGTGAGGGAAGCTATACGCTGGGCTTGTGGGAATCGGTGGACAAATTTGGTGATTGAGACAGATGCAGCGCTGATAATAGCTGGGATCCAAGGCGAGTCATATGCAGCCCAAATTGGGGTTATTTATGATGACATTAAGGTGCTTTTGAGAGCGAATCTGGATATTCACGTAAAGTGGTGCATGTAGAAGAGAGGCGAATAAAGTAGCTCATACCTTTGCTCGTCATGCTATCTTTACGAGTGCTAGTGATGTTATTTTCGATTTGCCTCCGAATTATGTTGTAAGCCATTTGGCAAATGATTTAATTTTATAAGAAGGGTTGTTTTCTTTCAAAAAAAATAAGACCATATAAGTATATTATAAAAAGACCATATAAGTACTACGTATATCTACTCTTATTTTTGAACTTTGTCCATGTTTTACTTACTTTATGCAATTTCTTACTACGTATCGTCATTTATCCAGTTTTTATCAGTTGTAACTTTTGAAGAATGGTGAACCTTTATTTTAGTTTCTAAACGTACGCATAGTAGAATATAAATTTACCTAAATAGGACTCTATAAAAGGATAATTGTAACTATAGGATTTTAAAGTTTGAATTTCAAAAATAGGACTAACTCTTCCTATTCTAACCTTTCTTTTGTCCTTTTTAATAGGATTTTTTAAACAATCATTATAAAATATAAAAAATCAAAATAAAAAAAATAAAAATCATAAAAAATAAATAAAAAATATACAGACCCCTACCACCACCTCAGCCACCTTCCAGCATCGCCACCTCCGGTAGCCGGAAAAGATTGCCAAGTTGGGGGGAAAATGTCATCATGATGGCAATTTTGAAGAGAAAGCTAAATATTTTCAAAGAGTAAAAATGACATCTTCGTGGCATTTTCAGAGATATGTGACATTTTTACACAATATGACATTTTTTCTGGAGATCGGAGCTGGTGGTGTTGGGAGGTAGAGGACGCGTTGGCAACGACCTATATATTTTGTAAATATTTTTTAGGTATTTTATTTTATTTTTTAGACTTTTTAAAAGTTTTTTAAATATATTTTTATTTTTTTAAATTTCTATTTTATTTTTTTATTTTTTTATTAGTAATTTATAAATATTTTATTATTTTTTATATTTTTATTTTAAATAAACTATGACTTTCTTACTAATAAAATAACTCTATTGGAAATTATAGGGATGAGTACGTAGAATGGGAAGAAGGGACATATATTAATCATATTTTGGGAATAAAGATATATACTCCTATTGTTGAATTTTTGGCTTATTTTAGTCCCATTACGGGCTAATACCCGTTTTAGATTTTATGTGCGATAATTGAAAAGGCAAGAACAACATCCTTTTTTTGTACAACAGAAATTAAGTGAGAACTACATTTTTTTGTAATAACAAATTTTTTGCACATATTTAAAGCGATAAACACTATGCAAATTAATTAGGGAAATTGCCCTAAATAGGAGTAAATGATCGAGGTTTGAAATTCCAAAATATGACTACTATGTTTTTCTTTCCGAAATATGAGTTATTACTGTTATGTATGAAAAATATTGTCATGATTGAAAAATATATTGTCATTAATTATAATAAATATCATCATCTTAAATGCACTGCACTGCAACTATTTGGCAGTCGCGCCTACATACAAGATGACAATAAATAGTGTCACATTAGTCTTATTTCAAGAATAAAAACATAGTAGTCTTATTTTGGAATTTCAAACTCCATTTACTCCTATTTTGGGAAATGTACCAATTAATTAAAGTTCATAAAAGTTACCAGCATCTTTAATTTCTCATATTGTTTTGACAACATGAATTTATTAAAGATGTTGGTAAAGTTTTATTGTTTTGACAACATGAATTTATTAAAGATGTTGGTAAAGTTTTATGAACTTTAATTAATTTACACTACAGGAGAAATTGACGTTTTTGGGTAAACATTGTATGAAAATCGTTATATACGGAATATTTCACAAACTGTTTTTGGGTAAAAGAAAAGTGATCGAAAAGCTCCCTTTCATGTACAAATAAACTACAAAAATGATCAAAAACCCTTTTAAAGATAAACATATTTATGTACAAAAAGTATTGATATGTGGAGTATACGGCTATTTTTATTCACTCGGTCTTACAAAATTTGATCAAATTCATTTTTATTGTTAATGATGATATACTTTAATTTGAACAATGATTTTTTTATTATACCCTCTCGCATATTATATAGTATCTGTTCTTGGGAGTGTCAAAATCTTTGATTAAGATTAATTTTGAACTTGTAATCCTTTTCTTGGAGTGTCACGATGTTTGGCTTTGAACACCAATTTGACAAGATGTTTGGCTTTGAACAACAATTTGAGGAAACTATAATTAATGTGAAATTTAAAACTTTAAAATTTGAGGCAACTATAATTAACAAAAGATAGAACATATCTACTATGTTGCACGGAAACGCGAAAATCATGAGGAAACGGGAAACGGGAAACGTCAACTTTTCCTCAAAAAAGGCTTATTTGGAAAGTTTCCAAAGAGTTTTCGAGAGTTTCCGAAACGGGAAACGTATGCTTTCCCGAGAGTTTCCGTGCTACCTAGCATATCTATATAACTTTAATAATTAAATTATTGAAGGGAGTCACGGAGGGAGACTAACCAGCCAAATTTGAAATCAATGCTGCGATGAGCAGCTTCAATATCATCTAAGCTATTGGTAAGAGGTAGAAACCACGTCACATCGAGAGTTATTCCAATCTTGCCAATCGACCCTGATGTCCAGGGCTGCATACCATTGCAAATTAAGATGTAACATTTCAAAGCTTTTATTAATTTGTTGAACAAATTCAGGATTTTATAACTTATACGTAGTACGTAGTAAGGGAAACACAATAAATTAAAGGCGACAACTTCGGGGTACCGTACCTTCCATTCACTTGATTGGTTCACATTGTTATATTATTTTTAATTTAGATTTAAATAACTCAACTACAACAATCTCATTGGTCCATGTGGACAAAGGTATGGTACCTTATGGGTACCATAGAAACTACCTAAATTAGAAGGGAGACTAAGATTTATGTCAACTCAATAACTCAAGTTGTGTTGGTCATATTCATACTATAGCGTACAAGTTGCATAGCTAGAGATCTGGATAAACCAAAGTATATAGAAAAAATTCATTAAATATGATTAAAACATTAACATACTACATTTATTGAACTATCATTATTTTTCACTAAAATATGACAAATTGACTCCTAATTGGGGTAACTTTAATCTTTAATTTAATTAAATATATAAGTCTTATTTTAGAAATCTATGTTTATGCATTTTCTCTATATTTTAGTCTATTTTGAACAATTTCTTAAGTATTATATACATAGTATGACATTAAGGGGGTGTTTGGATCCGATTCTTAGAACTAAGGAGCAGAAGTGAAGAAGTGATTGTGTGGTCTAATTTATTCATAGAATCAGTTTTTTCAGAAGCTGAGTGGGGCCAGCTTTTGAAAACTTATTCTGGTTCTGCTTCTGCTTTAAAAAAGAAACAAAAGCAGAAGCAGCTCCAAACACCCCCTAAATATACCTAATAGAGTATATAGACTCAAACTCCCGGACTCACGACTATCGAGCCTAGACGGCAGCCACATACGATCCGCTGATAATATTTAGCTCATTGTACAACTTACTTTATCTATTTTATATGTTAGATTAGCCTTTACATCAGTTATAAGCTAAGCTATTTCATGTAATTGGATCTATCAGATTCATATTAGCAGTCTCACACACTTTTTCTCTATATACTTCCTTAACATGAGAGGTTTTGTAACCCTAATGGATATTCATACACATATTAATTTCACTATTCATTTTCCTTTCATCATAGCCCTTGATCTGTCCAAAATGAAACTACTACGGAGTATATGTTAGGATACCGCATAATCCATTATCAATGCGCTAAACAGAGTTGAAGTAATCTAGAAACGGTCAACAGATTGTCACACCAGATGTTCATCCCTAGTTAGGGGTGATCGTTTGCGCTCCCAAATTACTCATTGACCTGCTAGTGAGACGCTTCGCTGAGATAATGAAAAATCACATTCAAGACTTTAATACTCCCCCGTGTTTACAAGTTTGCTACATTTTTCTATTTGAGATGTAGTTAAAAATTTGCTACATTTTTTCTTTTTGGAAATTTTTCTTTTAAAAATACTCAACTGCCTTTATTTTTTCTACTTTTTATCTTTTTCTACTACTTTTTCACCTTTTCTCTTACTTTTTCTATACTATACATTACCCCTTCATTTCTCTCTTAAATATTGTGTCAAGACCTAATGTCCAAACGTAGTGATCTTTTAAATACGGCGGGAGTAACATAAAGAAAATATTCGCTCCAAATGGGAATAAAACATCATCTAAATATAGGAGCGCCATTCTTTTCTTCGTTCCCAAAATGAGTGACTTGCATACCTTTCTCCTGTACAATCTGACAGCCTCAGCATGACAGAGGATGAGATGATGGCCGACGATATAAGGTTCAGTGGATGAGTCTCCGTCAGTGCATGCCCTATTCACCCAATGTGAACACCTCCCTGGTGCAGAATTACCAGCTTCATACCCTCCCATACTAAACTCATATGGTTCATTCAGTGTTATCCAATGCTTCACTCGATCCCCGAATCTTTCAAAGCAAAGTTCTGCGAAATCCTTGTAATCACTCCTGCAATATGATGTGTATGTATATATGATTTACCACTTCTCATCGTATCATATTAAATTCAAGTAATAAGTTATAAACTGCGTTCTCTGTTCCATATTACTATGATCAATTTTGTTTAAGAATATTACCAAAATAAAATTCATTTATAAATAATATGACTATAGTTATGAGTATAGTGTAAAAGTCATTTAAGTATAAAAAGTGAACGAAAGTTATTATAACTAAAGTTACTATTATAGTCACAACTTTTAAGAGATTGCATTTTTATAATCAAACTATATTATAGTCATAAATATATAATTATTTCTATTGTTTTTCCTACTTAACATTTTGGAATGTCCCAATTAAACGTCTTTTGGTTTACTTTTAAGGAATGATTTGTATGGTGAGAATTCTTTCATCATTTTCTACCTCAATCATAATCATACATTTATATTTTACTAACGTAGTTTGTAGGTGTCAATTCGTTCCACACTTTCACTATTTTTGTCTCACTTTTTCTTTTTCTTTTGTTTGTCTCACTCAATTTGTTGCATACTATATTTGATCATTATTTTGTGAATCTAATTCATTTCTAGCTCATTCACACTTTACCAATTCAATGTCATTTATATAACGTAATTCTATTTTTCTTGTAATCGTAGTGTCCCTTTCTATATAACGTAATTCTATTTTGAAAGTTTGTGTTGCTAACATTTATTTACTTTTTTCTTACTCAACTACAACTATATATTTACATTCTCTTTCCACTTTCTTAAATTCTGATAAAGTCAAACTGAGAAAATTTTTATGGGACGGAGGGACCCAGGCAGTATAACTGAAGACTAGAATTTATATAACTACATGTATGTAGCGGCTCTTACACTATTCTAGGGCTCAAGAAGCCACCATACTTGTCTTCTAGAGCTTGAGGAACATCCCAATGAAATATGGTCACAAAAGGCTCCAATCCTGACACATATACCACAATCTTTAATTTATCTAGCTAATTAATCAACAAAAAAATACGAAATTTCAAAATTAAAACTCGTTCGTACCATTCATTCTTGCTTCATCGATGACTCTATTGTAAAATGCAATCCCTTCTTCATTTACTCCTTCAGAAACTCTTCCACCTGCTCCACGTAACATTTTTAATGAGATGCAATACTTATAAATTAAATCCAGGCATAGTTTTCTTACTGACCAGCCTATAATTAACCAAAATGGGAAGTATAGAAAGAAATAAATACATAAATATAACCAAAATAAAGATGGTTTACAAAAATATGATTCATTACTAAAGTAGTAATGAAATCATAGTAATTTATGTTCAAGTTTTGAACTTTAGTTAACACAGCACTACATTATAGTAATGAATAGTTATATTTATGTAAATAAGTTTTATTTTAGTAATATTCTCGTAAAAATCCCGTATAGAAATATAAAAATTAAAATGTACTTATAAGTAGTTTTTATTTATAATATGTTTTTATACATTTTTTGGAGATAAGTCAAAGGTGATTTTTTTAATTAATAGAAAAGTAATTTTTTTAACCCTTTTAGAAAAGTAAATTTAAGGAAAAGAATGATGTCAAAATAGTTACATTTATACGCTTTCGTGGTAAGTATTGTGTAAAGTTATGTTGACCATTATCATTGTTACTATAAATTAGTGAATTACTAATAAAATCACCGTATTGCATATATAATCACAGACATGTCGATGCTCTACTCCATCTAAATTTTGATTTTAATATTTATGTGTAAAAATTTTGATAAGAATAATACTTCCTCTATCCTCAAAGAATCACCAAGTTTTGCTTCAGATTTGGAAATTATTTATAATACGGAGTATAAAAATAAGAATAATACTTCCTCTATCCTCAAAGAATCACCAAGTTTTGCTTCAGATTTGGAAATTATTTATAATACGGAGTATAAAAATAAGAATAATACTTCCTCTATCCTCAAAAACAATGTCTCCTTCACCGTGACCTCTTTCCTCCCCCTACGTACAACCGGCCACCATATCCACCAGCACCCCCTCATCTCTTCCTCACCAAATCTGAAACAAAACTTGTTGATTCTTTGAACAGCTGGAGCTTTTCGAACATAGACTTTCTGTCTCTTTTCCTTCGCCACCACGTCGGCCGGTACAACTCCAGATCGGAATCCTATGGACGGCAGCAACAAGGCTTCTGGTCAGTATTCCTATGCGAGCCACAAGTCGAAGACTCCAATGAAGACGGCATGCCAATCGATTGCAGGTTGCTCGAGCCACCCTCCAGGTCAACGACGATTCTCAATTCTGGCAAAGCTTCTCCGGCGGTAGCACAAGTGGAAGGAAGGAAACTGGAAAAGGTTCTGTGGCGGCAGAGAAGGTAGAAGGAAGAAAACCGGCAAAGTTTCTCCGATGGACGACGGACGACGGACGAATTTTGTCCTTGCCGGTGACCTGAAGAGGAATTTAGAGGAGGAGAAATGGGTCTGCAGAAGGAAGAAAGGGGGATTGGGGAAGATGAGGAAAGAAAAAGGATAATAAAAAAGAAAAAGGAAAGGAAAGGAAAGGAAACCGGGAGTTAACCTATTAAAAGGAGAATTTGAAGAAAATAACATACTTTGAAGGTTTAATTGAAGAAAATTTAAGTAGAAGGGTACAATTGCCTATCCGTACAAAATACAGGGGTCGATTTGACACTTTTCTCTAGATATTAAAAACAACTTAGTTTGAAAACTTACTAGGGATTACTCTTGGCCATGAAATGGAGAATCTGAAAGCATTCATTCCAAGCTCGTTACTCATTAGCCTGATATCTTCCTGCAGGATATATAGTATATATACCTTTAGTTCCAATATGTTATGTCAATTTAACAGTGTCTAGATGTATTCCTTATAAAATGATATCGGTGCAAATTTACAGTTGGCATAATACATAGAGGCCGTTTGGCAACATTGTTTTTCGGCTTATCAGACTTATCAGCCAACTTTTTCACCAAACACGTAACTTTTGCTTTCGCGCGCTAAATTGTGAAATAAGCAGAAAAAGTAAGGTTGGAGTTACTTTTCTGACTGCATTGGCTGAAGTTACTGTAGATGACCATTTTAGCTATTTTACATATAATTTTTTTCTTTATTTTATTAGTAAAATATATTTTAAAAATAATTGTTTCTTAAATCAGCAGAATCAGCCAATGCAGCCGCTTCAGCCAGAACTTCATAAATTTCAGCAGAATCAGCCAAAACAGCTGATTTTCGTGCTACCAAACGGGCTCATAGTCTAAATTCATACCAGTGCACATTTATGTATAATATAATGCACAATCTCAAATAGACGCACTTGGTTTATTTTCATTTGTCTACTTAAATCATTTCTCATTTGACTAAATTCTCAACGCTATTAGCTTTTCAATTAATGAGATTGTCTTTAGTCCAACGAATCTAGTATCCCTAGTTCACAAATTAAAGTTGAAAAGTTTTGAATGCTTACGGCTCAAATGTAGTTCTTCATTCCTAATAGTATTATTTTGGTCTTATTCCGTTTTAGTCACATTTCATATAATTTATTAATTTAATATCAATCACATAATTTTAGTAATCTAGACTGAAACTCGTTCAATTGAATTTTGAACCCGAGACCTCCCGTAAGGGAGAGTGAATCGGTGACCAGTTGTCTCGCATAATTTTACTTTTCTCCTTCTTATTTCAATTTTAAAGAAATGTGTATACGTTATAGTTATAGTCCATACAAAGCACATGATTTTAATTATGAGCCTTTTGTCCCTTTAAAAGCATTGAACTAGAAATATAAAAGTTTAAAATGACCAAAATTTTAATTTATTAAATAAATGATAAATGCTTACAATTAAATTTACACAAACATTATATATAGGAAGTATATAAATTTGATTCGTTTTCATTCAATCAAATGACCCAAAAGTTTCTCATTGTTTTGGGTCATTTGATTCTCGAGCTTTTTTACATACGCCCTTGCTTTTATCGGCACAAACGAGAGAATCAATATGACTCGTGGTTTTCTGGTAAAATTTTAAAAAGATCGAAAATTTAGAAGATTTTTCTAAAATATTATGGGCAAAAGTATTACTATAATCATCATACATAGTTACCATAGTATACCGTTCAACACAATAATTGTTACTATGCTAATCACTAAAATTTAAAACCACAATTTTGTCTTTTATATTTATTTCGTGCATATATTTGTCATTACTTCAAAATTTATTGACAATGAATGTGTAGTAGTAGGATGTATATGTATCATGTATTGTACATACTCTGTACTTGTTATAAAAATCGACAGCAACGTCTCCATTGCTTCCATCTACTATTCTTTCTGCGAAAGAAGAAACAAATAGCTCAAAATAGTGTAAATCATGGGAAAAGCTTAAGAATAAAATTAAATATTTTTATTCTCAAAATATGAATTAATTTGTCCATAAAAGATTAAAACAATTAGAACTTCCCCTATAGGAGTCAATAAGCCTTATTTTGGGGGGGACAATGATATTCCTAATGTGCACTTTGTTTATGTTCTAGTCCTATATAAGGAATTTTCTTTCTAATTTTTTTTATTCATCTCAGATATTTATTACCAACTCAACCCTATTTTTACCAGTAGCTATATACTTCCTCCGTTCTTTTTTAGTTGTAACGGTCAACATTTCACACTTGCTAACGCACGTCTTTGAGCGTAATAATATCTTAGTCACTATTAGTAAAAAATAATTAAAAATCAGATTTTGAAAATTTGTAATGAGATCAATTGAACAATATTTTTTAAAAAAAATAATTTTGGCAAAATAATATCGTTAAATGTAGTCAAAGTAGAACATGTGAAGTGTAAAATTCAACATGTTGCAATTAAAAAAACGGATGAGAGTATGCCCTAATGCGCACTCTTAAGTTAATTAGTTCTAGTCCTCATATTTTCATGCATCCACAAAAAGATCATATTTTCATGCATCCACAAAGAGATCGAGGGAGGATAGAGAGAAACCTGGATGCTCATGCGTAAATGTATCCCAGATGCTGGGTCCTTTACCGCTTTTGTTGTATGCTCCTTCGACCTAATCAAAGGTGTATATTATACGGAGTACTGTACTTTGTATCAATATGTGCCCACACACATATATTGAGACCATCTCCAATGCTACGATGTGCACAGTGCACATGTGGCATGAGAGAGATAGATATAAAAGATTAATTGTTCGACATTTATGTCTCTGTCTTTCCACGGTCTTATTTGTTTTTGGTAAGTTTTTCTCTGCAATGTCAACCACAATGTCTATATCTAGACATTGTGCTTGACATTGTGAAGAAAAACTTACCAAAATGATATAAGATACTTCAAATAAGGAGAGTGATATTTTATTTATTGTTTTTGATTGGTTATCTATCATGCCACATATGCACCATTAACGTATTAGCATTAGAAATGCTCTGATGAATATACACGTGCATGTTAACGGTTAAGCAATATCTACCATATATATTTGTATAATGTGTATATGAGGACAGATCATCAGGCCAGCCTGACGGGAACCGCCGTCAGGCTGAGGCCATTTGGGCCACTTTCCGGTGGAATATTTGGATTTTTGATCATGTTCTTCATCAAGTCTAGTTTATTCATACCAAATTTCATCTAAAAATACAATCGAGAAGACGTTCAAATAAATTGTTTGCAAAAATTGTGTTTTATGTATATATAAACAACGCAGTTTGCTTAAACAATTTATTTTAATGCCTTCCTGATTGAATTTTTAAATGAAATTTGGTATGAACAAACTAAACTTGATGTAGAACATTCTCAAAAAATTCTATCAAAAATTCCACCAGGAAGGTCCCCAAAAGCTCTCGGCCGAACGGCGAGTCCCGTCAGACCGGCATGACAAGATTGCTACACATGTGTATATGTACCCAGGCCAATTGGATCAAATAAAAAAGTTCTTGATGTGCAAAAATGTGAATTGGACTTCTGTTCACCTATTGTAATTCGATCTATAGTAATGTACAACACTTTAGGCAACTTTAGTTATTTGCAAATTTGGTCATGTTAAGAGTCGGGGTTTCATCATAAAATGTCAATTTGATTGGAGGACGAGTCTATGTCTTAATATAACACTTTGTTACTTCTCAATTTTTTAATGTGGACTTTAACACCCCTCATGACCAGACACTTTGTCTGGATCGTGTCGTCATTCATTGTTCATTGGTTAACATTTATCATTGTCATTTTTTATAGTCATCGTCATTTTTCATAGGGGACCTACAACATGATTATGTATCGATTCGTCTTGGGTATCATGTTAAGAACTGAGGATCCCTTGTCTTAATGTAACAATTTATTACTTCTCAATTTTCTGGTGTGGAACTTTAATAGGTCCTGTAATTAATTTCAGCCCGTAACTTCTGGTGGTTTTAATTATTTGTCCCGCAACTTTAGTTACTTGCAAATTTGGTTCTGTAATCAATTAATATTTGCGATTCAACGAGTTTTTCCTAAAAAGTACACTTTCCGGCGATAATATATTGGAAAAGATGTCGCCGGCATCAGATCTTTCTACCAAAAAAATGTACTTTCTACTGATGGAAAAGTCCATAAATCGCAAAGATTTTTTTGTTACAGGACCAAATCTGCAAATGATTAAAGTTACTGGATGAATAGCGATAACAACCGAAAGTTACCAGTCTAAAAGTATACAATACCCCCACAATGGCAAAAAGTGACCTTTTTGAAAAAACATGATGACAGTCTTAGCTTGTAAATAAGTGATTTTTTCTGAACGTGAAAAAATAGTACTACCCAAACATAAAGACTGTGTTTGGAAAATGGCTTATCAGCCAAGTTTCAGCTTCTTTGACCAAAATTGGATTCTTTGACTAATAAAAAAGCCAATAATGACGTTTGGCAATTGGATGCTTCCCTTGGCTGGTGAAGCTCAAAAAGCCGAAAATGGAAAAGCTGGGGAGGGCAACGTTTTCATGTAGTTGAGCCCTTGTACCTGTTTATACCCTTAATTTTTATTTTCATCAAACACGTACCGGCAACAAGCTAACACAATCAGCCAACTGAAACAGCTGGCAAAACCAGCTATTGTCAATCAGCTGTCATAACCAACTAACAGCTAACAGCCGATTGCCAAACAAGGCCAAAAGTGGTGTAAAAACTAAACATTTTGAATTTCACAAGTTACCCACATTTTTATTTCAACATCATATCTGTGTACACACACACGTTCAATTGATATGCATGAAAAAGAAAAGTGGTGTATGTTTTTTATTGTTAAAACAACAGCGTGCTGCATAAAGCCATAATATCAATAACTAACAAATCTAATAGAAGAATATATATATTGTGAGGCAGTGTAGACATACTTGATAAGCAGCGATAGCTGTTCCAAAATAGAAGTCAGGTGGAAAATGAGTGGTCTGAATCTCAAAAGGTAAGAAAGGGTAATCAGGCTCGACGATTGCTTCAATATAATCATAATCTAGCAAGCCTACCAATAACCCTAATATTAGCAATCCTAATACTGGAGAGCTTTTGGTTTTTGTCATCATGATCATGTGTTTATGGTATATGCTCATTTTGATCTGATGCACCATCCCGGACTCTTTATATAGACGTACGAATAATATGCTAGCTCCTTGGGGCCTAGCTTAATATCAATAGACAATAGTTCACATAATTCTAAAATGTCTTCAATGTTGTTTGTTTCGGGTTTGGGACAAGTCTTACGTGAATCTTTGGGAGATAATTTCTCATTCATTTCAAAATAGTTTTCTATAAATATTAGTACATATATGAAAGTGTTTACCTCGTGGAGCACAACATGCATGTTGGGACTAGAAACTGTTCTGTTCGTCTTAATCTTATTACTTATTGCTTATTCTTATTTTATTCAGATCAGAAAGATTCAGATCAGATCAGAATCATTCAGATCAGATCAGAAAGATTCAGATCAGATCAGAAACATTCAGATCAGATCAGGAACATTCAGATCAGATCAGAAAAGTTCAGACATGATTTATCCCTTTTATTATAATAATAATAATTATTATAATAATTTTAATAATAATTATAATAATAATTATTATTATTATTCTTGTTGTTATTGTAATTATTATAATTACTATTATTATTGATATTATTATTATTAGTATTGTTATTATTATTATTATTACTATGATTATTATTATGATATTTATTATTATCATGATTATTATTATTCTTACTACTATTATGGTTGTTGTTGTTATTGTTATTAGTTTTGTTTTCATTATTATCATATTATACGGAGTAATTACAATTAAAATTATAGAAATAAATATTATAATTATAATTAAAATTATAATTATCGAAATAAATATAACTCTAAATATAATTACAATTATAATTATAGCTATATTTATAACTAGTGTACTACTTATAACAATAACTATACCTATTATAATTATGTTTATAATTATAATTATAATTTTTATAATTATTATTATAATTATAATTATATTTAAATTATATATGTGTAATTACATTTATAATTATAGTAATTATAATTACAATTATAATTTTAGAAATATTCAAATCAGATCAGAAAGATTCAGATCAGATCAGAAACATTCAAATCAGATCAGAAACATTCAAATCAGATCAGAAACATTCAGATCAGATCAGGAACATTCAGATCAGATCAGGAACATTCAGATCAGATCAGAAAGATTCAGATTAGAAAAATTCAGATCAGATCAAATCAGAACTTAGAAAAATTTAGATCAGAAACATTGAGATCAGGTGAAGAGAGCAGCTTCTTAATTAGTCACACTAAACAAGAGATGTGGATCCTTACATATACGTAGCACGGAGTATATTTTAACCGCACGCAAAATGACCGAAATATTGTTTTGTATTTCCAACACTGATAAAATCTCCTTTCAAAAGAAACATAGATAAAATCAAACAAAAAAAAAATATAGAGAAAGAAATTAAAGTTACTAATACAAAGAATCACAAATCAAACCAATATCAAACCAATGATCAAATTAGAAAATAGAAGCCAGTCTCCATCGAAATGCACCATATAAGTATTTTCATCACAAGACATCGCTAAACTAATCCCAACTCCCAAGAATCCACCTACAACCCTTGAGTGAAGTAAATCCGATTCGTTTGGAAATCAGCTAGCTAGGTTACCAACATTCATAGATACACCACTGTGCCAGTGGCGAATTCAAGATAAAAAATAAGAGAGAAATCCCTAAATAGGAGTAAAAAAGTTTTGAAATTCCAAAATAGAACTATCATATTTTTATTTCTTTAATATGAGTAAATTTCTGCCAAGTTTGACATTACTATGTGTTAAGCCATTAAACATGACATTTTTAAAAAATTGACAGAATTACTCCTATTTAGAAAACAAAAACATGAAAAGTCCTATTTTTGTATTTCAAAAACATGGTAAATTGTTTTTACTCCTATTTAGGGCAAAGTTATTGGGGGCATGCTTTCATTGAACGGTCGAGAGCTTATGATAGTATTCAATGTGGTGGTGGGTTTAAGAAAAAGGGTAATTCTAATCACAGTCCTCTTTTTACTAAATACACACACTTATTTTGGTACTAAATTTTAATTCCTATCATGCCCTGATACTTTAATTCCTAAATTTTAATTTTCGTTTGAAATTCATTAGCCATTACAGAGAGCCACATCTCCTAAGTCCTAACGATACTCAAATGATATATTAAATCTTCAAATCACATTTCAAATAGGATATGGAATCCTAAAATCTTCAAATCGAATCTAGAATCCTGAAATCTTCAAATGGATTTCAACAAAAATTTCAATTCTCAAGCCCTAATTGTGAATTCGTGATGCTTAGATACATGGGAATCTCAATGTCCCAAGCCTCCATATGCCTCTATAGGTGAATTTGACCTTGACGCAGCCTGGTATGGCAACATACAGATTTGCTTAACATCTCCGCCATCGGAGCCCTGACCTGCTTTCTCATCTTTGTCTTAATCAAACTTTTTAGCGACCACAGACGCAATAGTCTCGAAGTTCCTTGTTGCATAGCGCACTACTGGCGGTGAGATCGTCCGCCACTGTGGTGTGGCTGCCGCCCAATTTCTCTTCATTGAAGGAGGGAGCTCCGGCAGTCTCATCTTCCTTGCGATTCTTGCCGTCATTCTTCCGCTAAATATATATGTTGATCGTTATATTGACCAAGGGTATATTAGATAATTGAGTTGTTTAGGGGCTGTACTTAGTAAAATATGGGCTGTATTTAGAATTACCCTAAGAAAAATACTACTCTGGCAGTCTGGTATTTGATATGGCACAAAGTATAAATATTAAAATGTACATCACATTTCAAACATGCTATTTATATATATAACCAATATATTACGTAGTAATATTGATTGTAAGAAATTTACATTTGCTTTGTGAAAGTTTATATATATGTACATTATTATTCCATATATATAACAACTTAAACTCCTCCCCAGAACACCACCACTCACATTATAATATTGATTTGTCAAATTCTTACAGTGATTAAATGATTAAAGAGTAATATTTCTAATTTACAGTTTTCAAATAGTATATAAAAACATAGTTTTCAAACAGTACGTGTTATAAGTTTTATTTATATTGCAATTAAATATAGGTAGTTTCTATGGTACCCATAAGGTACCGTACCTTTGTTCACATGGACCAAATCAAGTTGATGGTAGGTACGGTACCTTATTTTTTAAATGGGTACCGGAGTTGTCACCTTAAATATATTCATGCATACAAAAATAATTTTAAAAGCTACTACGTATGTTATATATACAAGGTAGCATAGTTTATGCTACTTGTCGAAGTTGTAACTTTCAATTTCAAATTAATTTATCATTAACGAAAAAGGAAATAAAATACAAATTTAAAATCTTTAATATCCAAGACCAAAAAACTTACTCCGTATTAAGTAAGATGGACACAAATCATATCCATGAATCTGAAATAAAAAGCCTTAGGATTCATACGTAAAAACCTAGTAAGAAAGAAAAGGCAATTTTGCTTCTTTCAATCAAAAAGAAAAGAATAAAATGATTTGATTAATTTTAAGCCATTAATTAATCACCTAAAAATGATTGCAAATTTACTTCTTTCATAAAAGAATGAATCACCTATTCAATCACTTTGGAGCCTTACCTCGTAAAATGACACCAGACCGCTATAAACATAGATAAAATCTTACGAAATAGCACAAGGTAATTAAAAATACAATTAACAATGGGAGAATGATATCCATCTTGTACTATACACAATTTCTTTATTTGGTGCAAAACAAAATAAAAGTGGGCTTTGGTCTTCTAAATATAAATAATATGGCCCCGTGTTCATACAAGTTAATGAGGGCATCATTTTATTCTTATTGGGGGCACACAGGTATATAAGAATAATATACAATTTATTTAGGCTAATACTCGTGACTTTATTGGTGGCATGTGCCCTATTAACCAAATTATGTATCCGCCCCTACACTATGCTGTACATAAGAAGTCACTATTAACTGATTGACTTCACATGTATGTACGTAGCGTGAAGTAGCCACGAAATTAATAAATTATTACTCGTGTTCTATTGGCATGGGATTTGTCAAATATCGTTTTTTTTATGTTTCAAAAAATGACTTTTTCTCATTAAAAACTTAAATTTTTTATTATACTCAATTCTTTCTTTTTTTATATACACTTCAATCATACAATTTAAATTATTTTTATATTTTCTTCTAAATTAAAGTTGCCAAAGTCCTCGACAAGAATTTGTATATGTCACTGTTTGTACATAGTACATACGAGTGGTACCGATACGTCCTCATGTGGAAATGAAAACCGAGTCTCATTAGTCAATGGGTTAATAAAGGGGTCGGCTTCATTTGTTTCAATATCATAATGTAGCAACTACCAAGCCTGCCAATAATTAGTAATAGTAATAAAGACGGGAGCACGTACGTTAGCTATCTGTGGTCATAATAATAATATGGCTGGTCATTTCATGATCACTGAGATTTTGAGGGCTTCACCCACCTCGTGAACTTTTGTATTTATATTTATTTGTCGTAATTGTTTGGACACAGACAATTACGTGTGGTTCAGTAAAGAAAAGTGTATATGATCTCCAATTATTTGTTGACAATTCATTTTTGGGAGTTACAAACATTTCGCATTACTAAAACTCAAATGTAATCATCTTGCACAGAGAATTACACTTTGACGTATGAACGAGTGTGTAACTAGGTGTTTACACGAAACAAAACTCATTTCTTGCTACGTATTTATTTGTTGTTAGGTATAGATGGATTTGTTGTCGTTTTAATAATAATAACCTGACCAATCACTTTCATGCATGATTTAATTTGAGGGCTACGCCCACCTCGTGGTCTTGTATTTATTTGTTGTTAGGTATAGATTTATTGTATCCAACTAAATTTATTACGAAGTATCATTTATGTCGGAAAATAGGTCAAAACGATGGACATGCATGCATTAGACTACACACATTATATTGAGCTTTCTATAGTTGTAAAATTTAAACAAAATTATAATCGTTACTAAAAAAAATTGTTAAGTCATTTTTTATCAATCATCCTTATTTTGATCATAAGATTATATTTTTTTCTA